GTGCCTTCGCCTCCCACCGACCTTCTCGCCTCCTACCCCCCCCCCCCCCCCCCCCGCCTACCCAAACCCAAATTAAAAAAAAACGGAAAAAAATATTACTTGACCTCCTACCTTCACTCAAATTCGAAAGTGTCCGAAGCCCATGAGCGGGAACCTTTTTCTCTGCTCCCCTCCCCGCCCCCAACCCAAATTAAAAAAAAAGGAAAAAATATTATTGCCTCCTACCTTCACTCAAATTCGAAAGTGTCGAAGCCCATGAGCATATCTCACGACAGGTACTGATGCTATTGATGTTTACTTGTGGTCATGGTTCTTTTCCATAGCAGTTGGATGAAATCTCGCACCAAGTTTTACACATTCAGTATGCAGAGTGGCCCGACCATGGGGTGCCAGAAGATACCACATCTGTTCGTGAAATTTTGAAGAGGCTTTATCACATAGCTCCACAATTGGGCCCCTTTATTGTTCACTGCAGGTTAAACCACATATTTTACTTTAAATTAGCCTCTAGATTATATAAAAGTGTATTCTCATCTGAGATTTCATATCTTGATAGTGCTGGAATTGGAAGAACTGGTGCCTTTTGTACAATATATCACACAATCCAGAGAATTCTTGTTGGGGATATGTCGGCTGTGGATCTTCATGTAACCATTAGCAACTTCCGAGATGAGCGTATTGGGATGGTTCAGACACGAGTAAGATTAGTTAACTTAATCAAGTGACCAAATTACTGCTTTATCTCGTTATTGGAAAAAGTTTAAGGTTGACGCCTTAAATTGTAGAATTAAGTTGCATCACAAAACTCCCTGTGAAAAGGATGTTTTGATGTTGAAAAATCATCTAATTGATCATCTTGACATCAATATACATGGATATGAAAAAAAAAAAAAGAAGCTTTTAAGTCCCAAAAATAGTACATCTTGCAATACATTATCTGGACCGTCCATTTTCAAAATTGTCATGCTTTTATAGATCTGTTTGATTTGAACCATTTTTTTAATTTAAAATTTTATAATTAGAGATGAAAATAGATTTTCGGGCCACCCTAAGAATTTTTGACACCAAATTTGCATCTTACTTTTATTGTTTAAGTTTGCAACCTTATGCAAACCACACCCCTTATTATTTGTATTTTAAGGGGTCTACCTCAGCAACGAATCAATTTCATATTAATGAAATGATATTTTGATCAAGGATATGATTATGGATTTTGCTTCATTTTGTAGATGATACTATGTAATTGAGTAATGGTTTTGCAGGAACAATTCTTGTTCTGTTACTCTGTCATAATGGATGAGTTAGAAGACCTCATCTCAGGAAGTGGAGAACAGTGATTTGTAGCCCAACGATAATCAATGGTATCCTAGAGCGGGCGAAACTAATGCAAGTTCATCTGCATCCTGTTATCTATACTTGTTAGACATAAATTGACCACTTGTTATCTGCTGAGAGCAAAATTGACCACTTGTTATCTGTAGATTTGCATTTTCAGGGTGTATGTCCAGCCAAATGTATACCATTCTCCTGTCCACCTGAGACGCAGGTACATGAGAGAGAGAGAGGAGAGAGAGAGAGAGTGGGAGGTTTGTCGGAATGAGAAAACATACAGAGCTTCAATGGGGTGCATGCTCCCGCTGGAGCAAGCTTTGCACTTGGTCCCTCAAGAGAAAGCCCCACTTAATCCGCAATTTGAGAAATCATCTATATAATTTAAAAAAGGAGAAAAAGTTAATGATTTTGAGCTCCTAAATTTGCATAGGAGAATATATTATTCATGAAACGATTTATTCTTGATAGAAGAAGGGTAATTATTTATAGCTACCTGTGAAATCCAATAGATTGAAGTGTGTTACACATTTGGAGAAATTTATCATTAAGAAGTGATATCACATCCAATGATCAATAATGATTATAACCTTGTATAAAAAATAAATGGCCTAATCATTATACATTTCAATATAGTAAAGATTCAAAATGTGGTGGCAAGGTTATGTAGCCTAGTAGCCTAAGGCATGAGCCTAGCAAGTGCCATACTCCAGCCAAGCCCTGCCTGATTTATTGTTGGAGCTGAGGATCAGGCCCAAGTGTAGGCCCGAACATTTTTTTTTGTAAGCCCAAGAAGCAACCTTGCGCTTGGGAAAAACATGTAGCCTTAGGAGCCATGGAACCTCTAAGGGCCTATGATGGAAACAAGGAATTTGTCTAAGTTATTTGGAGAGTTATATCTAGGCTTCGTGTTCAAAAACTTGGACTTTAATTATGAAGTAAATATCAAAATTTTAAATTAGAAAAACGTTTCTAAGTAGACCCTATGAGAAAGGGTGTGGTTTGTATAGTGTTGAAAGATGTTTCAATACCAGTAATTGTTGTGGTGGCTTGAACATTTATTTTCATCTGTAATTATAAAATTTAAAGCTTCAAAAATAGTGTAGATTGAACAAATCTATAAACACTTGATGATATTGAAAATTGATGGACCTAAAATGCATTATAAGGTACATTATTTTCAAGCTTTGAAATTCATTTTTCTCATGTCTTGAGGTTGAGATACCAATTTGTTTTTCTAGTGAAATTTTTGAGGTGCGTCTTAATTTGATTATTTCAGTCCTCGCCCTTATATAAACTTTTTCCTATGAGAAATGACCATGGCAATAGGTTGTGTTTCCCTACTATATCCGGGCTCGGATACCTAGAGATGCTTGTCCGGAGGGAATGACTCTCCTGGAATAGGCATATCCATGAATTCGCTTATGCTGGAAGATGTTGTTTGGATAGCTTATGAAAATTCATATCCCTTTCGTGTAGCAACATTCCTTCTAGAGGGCGAGTTTTCTATGCTTCCCCTAGAGCATAGAAGTTTTATCCTTCTCTTTATCCAACCGTCCATTTTAAATGGAGGGTTAAGATTGTCCCAATCACAATGTCACGTCTCTACACTATTTTGTTTTTAATTTTTTTTATAAACTATTTCGAAACCAAATTTTGGATGTCCATTTCTCTATTAAACTCACACTAGCTAAAAATAAATATAAAAATAATAATCAATAAAATAAAATAACCAAAATACTTTTGAAAGTTTTAAAGGGTATTTTGATCATTATATTTTATCGAAAAATTATTGTTAATGCTTTTTATAGGTCCGTCCCATTGAGAACATGGCACCTACCAAATTTCATATTCATACAATTTGTATAAAAAAAACTGAAAATAAAATACTTTGAGACGTCAAATCTAAGATCAAATGGTGAGTGGTTCTCTTGATCAAAATTGGACGGCTGGATGGTAGGCGGAAGATAGAACTTCTATGCTGTAGGGGAAGCATAAAAACCTTTCCTCCTTCCGAATCCATTAATACCGGAGAGAGTGAGTTGCAGGTTGGTGCACTGGTTCATGGTTGAACCAACCGGTTAGACGATGTTGAAACAATCACATTTCCTTCATTTTTTTTTTTTGCTTTGTTTAAAAAAAAAATTAGTTCACTTTTTCCACCTTTTTTAGTGTCTTTTTTTGTGTTTTATTTTTATAAGGACATTTTGGCCTTTTGATTATTATACGTAGGATTTGGGGCTTTAACAACCGGGCTTCTTTATACGGAGAAGTTTTGGCAATTTTTTGTATTCGGTAATCCGCAAGTCTATTACACCATTTTCTTGTTTTGTTGTTTTTTTATATAAAATTTCAGATTTTTAGGGGTTTTATATAGACAGAAAGCAACTGACCGGGATCATTCAAGACCGGTATGAACACGATACCAAGGCAAACCCATGGAAATACCCCCTTCATCAAAACAGACACTATGTAACTTTATCACATTGAAAAAGACTATGCCGTGGACCTGACCATTTTCACTTTTAAGTGGATTGTCTTGGACAAGTTCGTGCCCTTGGTAATAATCGAACGACTCTGCTCATAGGAACAAAGAAAAGTAAATTTATTCTATACTCGATAAGTATCAATATGCAATGGGGAGATTGGTCCCGTTGGAAGCAAATCCATGTATATTTGTTGAATAGAGGACACTACAAATTGTAAGAGATGTGAATACGCCTGTCCAACGGATTTCTTGAGTGTATGTGTTTATTTATGGCATGAGACAACTCGTAGTATGGGTCTAGCTTATTGATACCTTCCGAAAAACTTCTTTTGAATTCATTTGATTCCTCTTTAACGACAAACATCCGTGCTTGATTAGATAAAATCTACTATATATGATTTTTTTCCCCAAATTCTTGCAATACATTACTTCATTTGTCCCTGTTAATCGTTGTTTTATCTTAAGTTTATTGTTGCAATTTACCCATGGTGTATGGTATTGCTCTTTAGGAAGCTTTTATGCATTTTTTAAAAACAAATAATAGTTCTTTTGGGGTTTTTATATTTATTTAATTTTTAGCACTTCAACTTCAATAAACAATGGAGTATGAAAAACATTTATACTTGATAGATATTATTTTTTTCCTAGTATATTTCTTAAAATTCTCTTAGTTTCCTGTATTTTTCTAGATTTGACATTCTTTTTCTATTTTATATGTATTTTTTTATTTTTTTCTAGTTTCTAATTATGTGACTAGTTCACCGTATAGCTGGTCCAACCTGGCCGGTTCAATCGGACTGTTGCCCTCACCTGTTTGTCACTAGATCACTCCTAATAAAGCATCTATTTTCAGGTCCATATGAAACCGTTTCATGGAGAGTGCAATCCATCTGATTCTCTAGAAGATCGATTTCCTTGTTTTGGCCTCCTTTTTTCGCATTCAAATAGTGGAAATAGGCAATCCCATTGGAGAATCACCTCCGTTACAGATATCTCTAGGTCTCTAAAGGGACCCTCAGATTTATTATAACCCGCTTTTAGGGATATTAAAAAAATATCCCGAAAACTTTAAATCATACGTTGATGTACCTATTTTTCCTGTCTATTTTTTCCCAAAATGTCCATTATTTCAGTACTCGTAGTTATGGAATATGTTGAAGTTGGGTTTTGCGAAAAAACACCATTCGGTGAGTATTGAACATATGAATGCTCGAAATAAAGTTAGATATTAAGATTACCAAATAAATTTATTCTCTTAAATGTTATGTTTGGTACTCTGCTTCGGTTATATATAAATAAAAAAAAATTGTATGGCACTACTAGTACTGAACATAAGAGAGACAATAATACGGTGTTGATAGTATCAAACATAAAGAATAAATTTGATCGGTACTCGTTAGTACCAAACTTTCTTAAAGGCGTAACATACTCTCACGACAGCAGAGTATATTTTTTGTAAAAAAAACCAACTTCACCACAATTCGAAACCGAGATGCATCAACACAATTCGAAACTGAGATGCATAAAAAATGGCTATTTGCGAAAAAAAAAAAAACCAACAACGACTAAACGAATCGGACATCTACATAAATTTTGAAATTTTAAGGATATTTTTAAAATATTGAAAAACATATATTTATTTTAATTTCCCTCCAGAAAAACTTGTTTACATATAGTTTGAGGTTTTGTGACCCACGTACGAGGTCTCGTTATATAATGTTGAATTTATTTCGCTAAGAAGAGAGAGAGAGAGAGAGCCAGACCAGCTAGGGTTTGAGATGCATAAGCTCGCTGGGTGACTTTTTATATGGACCTCAAAGCCATATGACTCCAATTCAATTATTCCAAGCCGGTCCGGTGGGGCATTGATCATCCATTATGAAACTAAAAGCCATCTCGCTATTTTAGAGCCGTTTAGGCCCATGGATTTTGGCGCATGGATTCTGTGGCTAGGATATTAAAATTTTATAGAAATTAAATCATAGAAAATCACCCTAACTTTTATATAATTTCATTTCCACAACAAAATTTGTTTTTTTGAATTTACAAGGCCTATGGATTCCACTCACGGTCCCCTCAACCAGAAACATTGGGCACATTTGGTACGTATAAAAATTTAGAGAGAGAGTATCTAAATTTTTTTTTTAAAGATAAACTATCTCAACAAATTTAGAGAGAGAAACTATCTCAAATTTTAAGTTCTAGAGAGGGAAATTATATCAAATTTTAGAGAGAGAAAATACATAAAAAAATTTTGAGAGGAAAACTATGTGAAATTTTGAGAGAGAGAGAGAGAGACTATATCAAATTTAAAGTTTTAAGAAACTATATCCAATTTTAGAGAGATGACTTGAAATTTTTTAGAGATAGAAACTATCTCAATTTTTTTAGAGAGAGAAACTATATCAAATCTTAAATTTTAGAGAGAGAAAATATGTTACAATTTTAAAGATAAAAACTACATCAAATTTTGGAGAGAAACTACCTAAAAGTTTTTAGAGAGATAAATTTAGAGAAAGTATCTAAAAATTTTTAGAGATAGAAACTATCTCAAAAAATTTAGAGAGATAAAGTATCTGAAATCTAAAGTTTTGGAGGGAGAAAGTATTCTTAAAATTTCTGAGAGATAAACTATAATAAATTTAGAAAAAAATTGTAGAAATTTTTTAGAGAGAAATATCTCAAATTCTTTAGAGAGAGGTCCCATCTCAAATTTTAAGTTTTAGAGAGAGAATGTATATTTAAATTTTAGAGATGAAAATTGTATCAAATTTTTGAGTGAGAAAATATATTTGAATTTAGATATACAAATTATATCAAATTTTAGAGAGAGAAACTACCTAAATTCTTTTAAAAAGATAAAGTATTTCAACAAATTTATAGGGATAAACTATTGTAAATTTTATATTTTAGAGAGAGAAAGTACATTAAAATTTTAGAGAGATACTATATCAAATTTTAGATAG